TGCTGAGATCCTTTTTTTTAATATAAAAATGTTGCAATAATTGTAACAAATATGGAAGTTTCTTTCTCCCTTCCCCGAAGTTGAGAAACTTTATAAAGGATGACTGTCTCTTTAATGGAGTCTACGTCGCGTACACAAGTACCAGGCGTGAGTCCCGATTAATCCAAATATCGTCTTTATCCTTTAATTCCATTGTGTTTGACTTTCTTCTTTCCTTAGTGAGAACTCTGACAGATCCGCGCGTTCCATTCAAAGTCTCACTGATACAAAGGAGCTTATGGGATCCGTTATGGACTTAGTAATGACTCAGATCCATTTCATGGTATAAATAAACATTCTCGCGTCCTTAACTGAGCAAACACCATCTATTTCCTCTCTCAGGGTGGCTTTGTGTGAATCAGAGGAGTCGTGTCTGTGATCTACGCAGATTCAGGCTAGCTTCACACCTAGGCAATTCAGATGCTGAGCTGTTTTCGCGCGGCTGTCGCGCGTTTTCTATCGCGCAACGGTTCATTGTAAAGTGCGCGACAACCGCCCGAAAATAGCTCCTGCACCTTTTCGCGCGACTGGCGATTTCGGTCACGCGACAAACTGCAAAGGTGTTAACAGCCTCTATTGACTTCAATGCGAACCTGTGTTTTGCGCGATGTCGCGCGACAAATCGCCTTGGTGTGCACCGGCCCTAAAGAGATACCAAACCCCGGCCCTTCTCATTTTGTTCCCAGAGGCTCCAGAAATGACAGATGTCAGCGTTTTATTATTATTGTTACATAGGATAAAGCTGGACTGCGGGCACAAATAATGTCAATCAAAGTGATAATAAAGTCAACATTTTTTAAAACGCTGATTAAATCATTTACAATGGACGTGGCTCCTTCATGTTTAGCAACAAAACAAGGAAAAATTATATTTTATTACACTTATAGGGGTTTTAGGCTGTCCATAAAGAATTTATCTTAAAAAAAAGAATTTATTTTTAAAACAAAGCTTTTTATTTCTACAATTAAATAAAAAAATAGTATATATCTATATATCTATACACACACTATATTGCCAACAGTATTGCCAATAGTACAGCAACTCAGCCAGGAAGTGGTAGGCCACGTAAAATGACAGAGCGGGGTCAGCGCATGCTGAAGCGCACAGTGCGCAGAAGTCGCCAACTGTCTGCAGAGTCAATAGCTACAGACCTCCAAACTTCGTGTGGCCTTCAGATTAGCACAACAACAGTGCGTAGAGAGCTTCATGGAATGGGTGTCCATGGCCGAGCAGCTGCATCCAAGCCTTACATCACCAAGTGCAATGCAAAGCGTGGGATGCCGTGGTGTAACGCACGCCGCCACTGGACTCTAGAGAAGCGGAGACGTGTTCTCTGGAGTGACCAATCACGCTTCTCTGTCTGGCAATCCGATGGACATGTCTGGGTTTGGCAGTTGCCAGGAGAACGGTACTTGCCTGACTGCATTGTGCCAAGTGTAAAGTTTGGTGGAGGGGGGATTATGGTGTTGGGGTGTTTTTCAGGGGTTGGGCTTGGCCCCTTAGTTCCAGTGAAGGGAACTCTTAAGGCATCAGCACACCAAGACATTTTGGACAATTTCATGCTACCAACTTTGTGGGAACAGTTTGGGGACGGCCCCATCCTGTTCCAACATGACTGCACACCAGTGCACAAAGCAAGGTCCATAAAGACATAGATGGGGGAGTTTGGGGTGGAGGAACTTGACTGGCCTGCACAGAGTCCTGACCTCAACCCGATGAAATACCTTTGGGATGAATTAGAGACTGCGAGCCCGGCCTTCTCCTCCAACATCAGTACCTGACCTCACAAATGGTCCAACATTCCCATAGACACACTCCTAAACCTTGTGGACGCCTTCCCAGAAGAGTTGAAGCTGTTATAGTGGCAAAGGGCGGAGCCAACCCAATACTGAACCCTACGGACTAAGACTGGGATGTCATATGCGTGTAAAGGCCGGCGTCCCAATACTTTTGGCAATATAGTGTATTTATATATAAAAACAGTCCAAACAAAGTTGGTTGTAAACATCTCCTGTAAGCCACTGAACGGTAACAGAGTCTTCATTTTCAAATCAAAATGTTATGATGAGCGTATATCTGTACACGATGATTCATCAACATGTATCAATGTTATATATGTTATGTATAGCAAACCCTCTCTGCTGTGCCGGGCTCTTTCTCTTTTTGGATCTCATTATTGCTGTGCAATACCAAAGCTACAATATACACTCTGAGTGATCACTGGGGGAGGGGAGACTGAGGAAATGCTTCCTCCTGCCTGCAGCAGACTGATGACATCATCTCAGCCTAGGCGAATCACTGACTGGAGCTCATGGATGGCTTTTTAAAGATAAAATGCAAATCTTTGTCGCTGCATATTGTGACACTTTAGGAATTTATTAATCAAGGCTTGTAAAGTTACTGGAATGGCCTCACTATCGACAGGGTTATGTTAATTGCACTATTGACGTATGTGAAGTGTTATCTGCATGATTGATTGTTTCCTGTTTAGAAGGACAAGTCCCTGATTATGTAATATATGTGACTTATTGTCTGAAAGGTGAAAGCTGAACTCCATCCTTCCCTTCAGTCTTCTATCTGACCTCCGTCCTTCCTTCAGTCTTCTATCTGACCTCCGTCCTTCCTTCAGTCTTCTATCTGACCTCCGTCCTTCCTTCAGTCTTCTATCTGACCTCCGTCCTTCCTTCAGTCTTCTATCTGACCCCTGGCCTCCCCTTCAGTCTTCTATCTGACCTCCGTCCTTCCTTCAGTCTTCTATCTGACCCCTGGCCTCCCCTTCAGTCTTCTATCTGACCTCCGTCCTTCCTTCAGTCTTCTATCTGCCCTCCGTCCTTCCCTTCAGTCTTCTCTCTGACCTCCGTCCTTCCCTTCAGTCTTATATCTGACCTCCGTCATTCCCATCAGTCTTATATCTGACCTCTATCTGACCTCCATCCTTCCCTTCAGTCTTCTCTCTGACCTCCGTCCTTCCCTTCAGTCTTATATCTGACCTCCGTCATTCCCATCAGTCTTATATCTGACCTCTATCTGACCTCCATCCTTCCCTTCAGTCTTCTCTCTGACCTCCGTCCTTCCCTTCAGTCTTATATCTGACCTCCGTCATTCCCATCAGTCTTATATCTGACCTCTATCTGACCTCCATCCTTCCCTTCAGTCTTCTCTCTGACCTCCGTCCTTCCCTTCAGTCTTATATCTGACCTCCGTCATTCCCATCAGTCTTATATCTGACCTCTATCTGACCTCCATCCTTCCCTTCAGTCTTCTCTCTGACCTCCGTCCTTCCCTTCAGTCTTATATCTGACCTCCGTCATTCCCATCAGTCTTATATCTGACCTCTATCTGACCTCCATCCTTCCCTTCAGTCTTCTCTCTGACCTCCGTCCTTCCCTTCAGTCTTATATCTGACCTCCGTCATTCCCATCAGTCTTATATCTGACCTCTATCTGACCTCCATCCTTCCCTTCAGTCTTCTCTCTGACCTCCGTCCTTCCCTTCAGTCTTATATCTGACCTCCGTCATTCCCATCAGTCTTATATCTGACCTCTATCTGACCTCCATCCTTCCCTTCAGTCTTCTCTCTGACCTCCGTCCTTCCCTTCAGTCTTATATCTGACCTCCGTCATTCCCATCAGTCTTATATCTGACCTCTATCTGACCTCCATCCTTCCCTTCAGTCTTCTATCTGACCTCCGTCCTTCCCTTCAGTCTTCTATCTGAACCTTCCCTTCACTTTCGCACAGTTGTACTGGCTCCTCTCCTGGACTGGAACGGCTTCCGCGGCACATTGGGAGCTTCTCACAATATGCATTAGAAGCTGCAGCAATTCAGATAGAGCTCCGCCTCCTTTCCTGGCTGGAGGATTCCCAGCATCATCTAGCTCTGTTCTCCCCAGTCTGACTGTCCCTGGCCCCACCCCTCATTATTTGGATTTCAGTTCTTCCAATCAGGGAGGCTCAGCATCACATGTGGGTGTTATCTAGTGTGATCTAATTGCAAATGTAGCCTGCCTAGGAACAGCCACTCCCCTCCCACTAGCTCCTCCCAAAAGCCATCCCACTGCTTGCATCGGGGCTGAGGCAGGGTACTGTGATGGTTTCAGAAAGCTACCTACAGCCCCTTGCCGGCCCCTCCCACCAGCCATTTTCTGTCTGCATTGCATAGAGAATCATAGACACCCAGCGATGATGTCACTGGGACTAAATAAGGTATGAAAATGGAAATATTTCATTTAAAAATGCCATTAGCACTTTAATAAGAGGAAATAGATGAACCAGGGAAGGCCACATATAAGCAGATACAATGTCAGCTTTACAAAGTAGCCAATAAGCTTCTCCCCGGCCACATGCAGTGTGTTATCTCACATATTGGGATACATTATATCACTTCCAGTCCATTCCGTCCCCACCTATTACGGCTCAGCTTGACTGTGTGTACACATTGAACTCACTTCCCGTGCCAACTCTCTATCCTGGGACCTTGAATGCGGTCACACTCGTGTTAAACAAGCCCTGGGAAAGCAGCAGGTGGGAAAACCTGGCCGGCTGAGCCATTAATTCCCCATCTGTGTGCTCAGGACTTAGTGACACAGCGGGAGGCGTAGTCTCCACATTTGTGGTTTGCAGAAATTAAAGGGCAACTCCACTTAAAACTTCGAATTCAATTCAATGAGGGACGTACACTGGCGGTGTGAGTCACCTGCCAACTCAGCTCAGGGGCTCTAGATGGCATGGGTCCCCCTCACCTTCCATGGCGTCACACTCCCCCGGCTGCAATTATCGATATTATTTTATAAATGCAACGTTGTCATTGGCATTGCTGGAAGCTGGCACAGGTAATGTTGTCACATCCAGAGCAGGCCTCCAAAGATACTATTTTATCATGTTAATAATTCATGGAGTAATCAAAGCTCGGGGGACGCAGCATCGAATGCGCAGAGCTGCTGTAATCATCAGGAGAGAGAGATGCTTGTGCTTCTGGTGGCTGCAATGCTGGGGACCGCAGGTGAGAGGGGGTGCTGACAGGTGAGGGGACCTTCTATAGGCAGAGCAGATATCAATACAGGAGAGACACATGACCGGTCAGAGGAGGAGAAAGAGAAGTATGAGGGGAATAAGGAGCAAGAGAGAGAAGAACGAAAGAAAGAAAGAAAGAAAGAAAGAAAGAAAGAAAGAAAGAAAGAAAGAAAGAAAGAAAGAAAGATAAAAAGGAGGGGGGAAGGAAAATAGAAAGGAGGGAAGGAAAGTAAAGAAGAAAGAAGGAAGCAAAATAATGGAAAGGAGAAGGATGGAATAGAAAGGAAAAGGGAAAGAAGAATAAAAGAATAGAAAGTAAATGTAAAAGAAAGGAAGGAAAAATTAAAGGAAGAATGCAAAGTACAGATGAATTAAGGAAGGAAGGAAGAAAAGAATAGAATGGAGTGAGGGAGAAAGAGGAAAGGAGAGAGGGAAAAAGGAAGGGTGGAAGGAAAGGAAGGACGGGGGGATAAAGAAGGGAAGGAAGAAGGGAGGGAGAAAGAGGGAGGGAGGAAAAAAGGCAAGATGAAAGTGTGGAAAGAACGAAGGAAGGATGGAAGGAAGAGAGAGGGGAAAGAAGGAAGGGTGAAAGGAAAGAAGGGAGGGATAAAGAGGTAAGGAGAGAGCGAATAAGGAAGGGTGGATGGAAGGAAAGGAAGGAGAGGAAGGGAAGAAAAATAAATAAGGGAGGGAGGGAGGGAAGGAAGGGAAAAAGTTAGGGTGCAAGGAAGGAAACAAGGGAGGGAGAAAGAGGGAGGAAAGAAGGCAAGATGAAAGTGTGGAAAGAAGGAAGGAAAGGGAGGTTAGAAGGAAGAAGAGAAGGAAAGGAAGGAAGAGGTAGGGAAAAAGGGAAGCAGGAGAGTTGGAAGGAAATAAGTTAGGGATAGAGAAAGACAAAAGGAGAAAGGGTAGTGGAAGGAAGGAAGGAAGGAAGGAAGGGAGAAAGAGGAAAAGAGAAAAGGAAGTGTAGAAGGATGGAAAGGAAGGAGAGGAAGGGAGGGCAGAAGGAAGGAAGAAAGGAAGTGAAAAGGTAAGGGTGCAAGGAAAGAAGGAAGACAAGGAGGAAGAATGAGGGAGGGAGAAGGGGAAGAAGAAAGGGTAGAAAGAAGGAAGGAAGGAAAGGGAGATAAAAGAGGGAAGGAAAGGAAGGGAGGGAAAAAGGAAGAAGGGGAGGAAGGGAGGGGCAAAGGAAGAAGGGAAGGAAGGGAGGGATGAAGGAAGAAGGGAATGAAGGGAGGCAAGAAGGAAGGGGTAATTTTGGAGACATTTTCAGCCCAGCATATAATGTTTATTCTGTCCTCGGTCACATTGTTGGGTTTCCTGACTCATTGTCCAGCACTGTTTTTGAGCCTTGCCTTCTTATCGTTCTTTCTCTCCCAGTCCAATCCTCTACCATTGGACGGATCATAGGGGGAGAGGAATGTGTTCCGCACTCTCATCCGTGGCAGGTGGCACTCTATTACTTTGACACGTTTATCTGTGGCGGGATCCTTATAAATGAGCACTGGGTACTGACGGCGGCTCACTGCAAAATGTCGTAAGTGTTCAATGTTTATTTCTACTCCATGTGCTGTGCTTTGTGCTTCTCTTTCGCTAAAATACACATGAGCGATTTTTTTCGCTCCGAATCAACATTAGTGTGATTTTTACGAAGTTCGGACATTTGGACACATCCAAATTTCTGAATCCCAATGCATTGGAATTTTCCAAATCCGAATTTCCGTTTACGAATTTCAGATCCCGTCCGAATTTCATTAAAAAACTATTCCGAATGGCATTCAGGAGCTCCCGATTGCAATTCGGAAATTCGGATCCCAGATGCCATTCGGGTCTGAGAGCCATATACATATATTACTGAAGCTGAGGCTCCCGGACCCGAATGACATTCAGGAGCTCCCGATTGCAATTCGGAAATTCGGATCCCAGATGCCATTTGGGGCTAGAAGATTCAGCTTTAATATTAATATCTGTAGATGGTTTTCTGTGGGAGCCGTAATGAATATTCGTTCGTAAACTTATCCGAAACTAACGAAAATTCGGATTTCGTCCGAATCTGAAATTTTTGGATTTCCAAATCCAAAATACCAGACCTGAATCCCGAAATAATGAAATATCCGAACCGGACCGAATTTTTCCGTAGCTCACATGTCTACCGTAGTTTAAAGCACAGAAACCAACTGATGACATCACTAGGTCTAAAACAAGATATGTAATGAAATGATTTTGTGATTGGTTTCTGACATCACTTGACTCACATTTGACTTTGGCTTATTAGGAATATTCAAATAGTTCTCGGAGATCATAATCGCCAGGTCCATGAGGGAACCGAGCAGTACCGATATGCTGTCAAAATATGTTCCCACCTCGACTATAACCTAACCACGTACGACAATGATATCATGCTCCTGAAACTGAACTCACCAGCCATCATTAATGAATATGTGCAAATAGTCACCTTACCCACTGAGCTAGTGGCTGACATCACCAATTGTATCGCCTCAGGATGGGGATCCACCACTTCCCCTCAAGGTAATCTTTTTGATATAGTAAAGGATCGGTCAATCTAAAATTCATACTTCTGTTATAGGTGGGATGTGTTGGGCTTCTTCTTGAGTCTTGAGTACCCTCACCATAGTTCTTGGATCTGCTCCAGCTAACCTTGGTTTTTGCATCACGTGACACTTTAAAGTAGTATTGCCGGTGTTATCAGTAAAATTGGGTATATAATTGTGGATATGGAGGTCACAAATCTTATATCCATTTTCGGTTTTGCCTTGAAGATCTTTCCACCTTCATCATAAATTCTGGCCAACCACCTCCCACACACTTCTGTCAATGGTGAGCTCTTGTGGGTCATTCCAATAATCTTGGGTATAGACCAGGTAGGACCTCTGAAGGGCTCAATGTTTGAACTAAGGTGATGGTTGATAGTGTCAAAGTACCCTATTATTTGGCCAGAACTCAAACTTTCACCCATTGGCAATGGACCCCTGTGAGATTTTCTTAAGATTTGCACCCTGGTATCATGATACCGTGCACGGGTGACCCCACACCGCATGCAGGTATTTATACAGGAGGACCAAATAGGTGACCACACCAAACAAGGCTTATGAACTTATAGTTTATTAGACATACCAAACTCACATAAACACAAGCAACCCCACCACCACCCACAAGTAACATATAATAGCCAACTAAATGTAAACAGCAGAATCACACATAGGATATAACAGGGCTAGTTAACCTGGGGAGCAGGGCAACAAGACCTCAGGGGAAGTAGTCAGGAGTCAGGGTTCAAGGAGGCAACAGGATACAGGTTATGGCGACAATACTGAGGCTGTCAGGAACCGGGTCGGAACCCCAGCCTCTGCTGTAGCTGGTGGTGGTTCTACCTGCTGAGCCACCTTAGAACCTTGGATAGCTCCTTGCCTGATCTCCTGTGTATCCTCAGTTATACCTAATCAGATGCTGAACTCTGATATCTTTGCTCCTCCCTTGAACTTCCTATTCCCATGACCGACCCTTGGTTGCTGGTTCACCGACTACTCTCTCTGTCTTTTGCTACATACCTGATACCTTTGGCTCCTGACCTCGGCTTGATCTCTGACTACGCTTCTGCCTGCTCCTCCACCACTACCCTCTGCTTGTGTACCGAACTCAGCCTGTTATACTACGAAAGAAACAAAAGACAAAGAGCGCCTCCATCGCGTAAAAACGTTTTAATGAAGTGGGTTTTAAACAAGTGAAACCATACTCACAAAAGTAGAATTTTTACAGGCATAAATAGATAAAATCGTGAAAAGCTTAGCCCACCGGCTACTCTTCCTCCCTGAGGTTAACGTTTAACTAATTAACTAATTGTTCCTTTTCATGCAGCCGCGCAAAACTAAGACACAATTCCCGGCATATACCCTCGATCTCATTATAACACTCATTTATTTTTATTATTATATATGTCATAAAGCCTCCTAAAAAAACTTTTTAAATTCCTTTGGATTATATACAAAATTAGCATTCGCTTTTTATATTTTAAACTTGATTTATTCATATTGTTAGAAACCTCTTCCCTTCGATTATGATATTACACAAATTTGCCTCAATGATTGTAGCTTTCCAGCTATGTATACAGCTATAAGGTAAATTGATAACATGCCTAGAGCTTAAGCGGGCAAATTCATTTGAATCCCAGTGACCCCAGGTGTTTCCTAATCGTAAGCCTGACTTGAGTCGCGCTTTAAAAGGGGAATCTATTGAACACTCCCTATTGGTTCTGACGAAGGAGGCGTGGCCTCGGAAACGTTAACCTCAGGGAGGAAGAGTAGCCGGTGGGCTAAGCTTTTCACGATTTTATCTATTTATGCCTGTAAAAATTCTACTTTTGTGAGTATGGTTTCACTTGTTTAAAACCCACTTCATTAAAACGTTTTTACGCGATGGAGGCACTCTTTGTCTTTTGTTTCTTTCAGAGTTGAGGCTCCCCTATAGCCTATCTGAGAGCTTGCCCCATCTGCGGTTCTGCTTGAGATCATTGCAGACATTCTCCGGTTTTGGATACAAGCCGTTGGCGCTTTTGTTATATACTGTTATACTACGAATTGCCTGCTGCTTCAGCTGCTGGACTCTAAACCTGATCCCAGGCCTCACTGCAGGGAGAGGTTAAATACCCTCCCAGATCAGCACCAGGTGGGGACCAATTGCCGAGACACCCGCAGGTGAGCACTGGAACTGCAGTACCTGATTCCAGCGTCACAGTGCCACCTGGAGGTGCTCTGGTCCCTGACACCTGGACAAGAAATTCTGTACAATTTATCAGATGCTTTGTGATACTTTGTGTAAAGTGATTTGAGAAACTCCTTGTCTTTAACTGCACCACAGGTCCCGTGCCTAAAAATATTTTACAAATAAATGAATTCTGTGTTTCTCAGAGACATATCCGGATGTCCTTATGTGCCTGAACGTCACCACGGTGCCTGCGACCGACTGTCAGGAATTTTATGAAGATGAACCGACAATATCCAATAAAAAAAGTGCAATAACGGAGAACATGCTGTGTGCCGGAATACTTGAAGGAGGGAAAGACACTTGCCAGGTTTTTAAATGAAAAAAAGGGTGTGGCCCACCTCCTAAAAGATACCAGCAGGGAACACCAGGCATTTGGCCCATATGGTATACCAAAACTAAGATGCATTGCTAAAGGGGCTTTCTGAGCGGGCTGAAGGGCATCAGTGTGACAGGAGGTCCACACAATTGTGGCTGTCTTGCTATAGGGACCTCAACATCAACCCTGGTGTGTGGAGCTGGTCTCTTTAAAAGGGTTGGGGCATCTGTTTTTTTTTTGGTTATTTATAAAAAAAAAGTTTGCCTGACATAATTTTATGAACTGCCAGTGGGGCAGATTTTTCTCACATTTCTACCATGCTTTAATGAAAACATCAAGTCACTTTAAAGGTGAACTATGGGGTTAGGGCTTTTCTCCATAGTTCTCCTAAGGGTAATGGGAGGACACAAACTAGCGTCCTCCCGTTACCCTAAGCTCAGTATATAGGGAGCTGCAGCTCATTATATACTGAGGCGCCGCAGCTGAAGTGGATCCCGACAATTATGTCTGGATCCGCCAAGCTGCGTGAGTGACAGCTGGCTCTGCCTATCTAGAGGCGGAGCCAGCTGTACCCGCCCTTTCCCCCGTCCGTTCCGCCAGTCAGCGCTGGAGGATCGGAGCGGGGAGGGGGGAATCCAGTCCCTCCCCTGTCACGGCAGAGAGCCCTGACTGGATCGAGAAGTGAGCGAACGCCGGTATGTGTTCGCTCACCTCCTGATCTACTGAGCCGACCTGTGACAGTTTCATATATGTATATATGCTGTTTATATAATTATAAAAAGATATAGGTGTAATAGAAGGAAATACATTTCCATATAATTATAAACTACTATTTATATACTTATTTTAGGTGTAAAAGAAGGAAATACATAACCATACAGTTACAATAATTACATAATAATTACTTATGATTATTCATATAAGCAATTTCTGTAATTATATATTTATTTCCTTCTTTTATATCTAGAATTTTTATAATTGTTTGTAGCCCCGACGGAGAGAGAATGATTTGGCCCCATTAAACATTTTGGCTGTTTTATTTGATCTTAAAACACAGGTTCTCCTCTTGTGTTTTTTATGATCTTCGTCATACTCTTGGCACCCAGTGGAGGGGAGCTTTGCTTCATTTAAGTTGCCTCACCAGAGCCAGTAAGCTCCCCGAATGATTATGTTCTCTTAATTGTTTTTGAGCAAACAAGTGTCAGAGACCCAACATCTGGATGTTGGGTGGATGTGGTTTGGAGAAATAGAAACATGGTGGAAATTGTAACATTTCCTCACTATATCCGGGCTAAATAAAATAAATACATTGGCTGGCTTAGTTAGGCTTTGACATATCTACTGTTGGATTGGTGATCACAGCCAACAGGTTCCATATTATCTCAGAAGAACCTTCTTTATCTTCGCCATTTGCCATTGTTCCTTATATACTTTATTTCTCTGTAGGGTGACTCCGGAGGTCCCCTGTTATGCAACTCGTTCTTACATGGAATCACATCTTGGGGAGAACCTACTTGTGGACTGCCAAACAAGCCGGGAGTCTTCACCAAAGTGTTTAATTATATCAACTTCATTGATGATATCATGGCGAACGAGCCCCCGGGGATTTGCATACAAGTAGCTCGCCAGTATGGAAGGCCACTATAAGATGACTTTCCTTATACTGGATTGCAAGTTCAACCCTCACAAATCATCTTATGTTCTCTACTCGGTGAACCAACAAATGTAAATGGTTACAGAATATGATGGGTTAAATGATGGATATGAAATGTAACAATTAAAAAGTGGTGGGTACCCAGGCATGTCATGTGACCTGTATTTCCGCAACATTACCAAGCCTGCTAACCAGGTTAAACCTAAAGCTAAACTCATTTTCATCTAGATATATTCCTCAATAGCCACAATGTATATAAATCCACTTTGTGTGCACCAAATGCCTTTTGAAACTGTAACAACGTAAGGCATGCGGCAGAACAAAACCGTTTCCAGGTGGCGAGGTCAGTATTGCCTTATGCCTCTGGCATTCAGCCTTCTGCTATAAGCTCATGGTCACTTCTGCAACCATAAGCTAATAGGAGAAGGCTTCCCCTTACTCTCCTCTGTACAGGTGAAACTCGAATAATTAGAATATCGTGCAAAAGTAATTGCAGTAAGTGCTGCAAAAGGGGCCCAAACCAAGTACTGAGTACATATGCATGCTTGTACTTTTCAGAGGTCCGATATTGTTCTATGTACAATCCTTGTTTTATGGATTGCATGTAATAATCTACTTTTTCTAGGTTGTGGATTTGGGATTCTTGCGGTTTTCATGAGCTGTAAGCCATAATCATCACAATGATGACAAATAACGGCTTGAATTATCTTGTTTTGCATGTAATGAGTCTATCTCATATATTAGTTTCACCTTTTAAGTTGCATTAGTGAAATAAATGAACTTTGCACGACATTCTAATTATTCGAGTTTCACCTGTATATGAATAGCTTGTCAGCCTCTGGGGACAGCTATTCATTCAAAATGAGACCCTTCACCTATCGCTTCCACCACCCGCCGCTGTTTCTGCCACTCTGCAGCTCTTTCCCCACCACTGTGAGCTGGCTGCAAGCTTTAATCTGTGTTCCCTCCAATCCCTGCTGCTCTTCCCCACCTGTATCAACCTAGGCAGCGGGGAACAGAGGGGAGCTGATCCAGCCGATGCCCAGCAGGGAAAAGGGACCTATCAGGAGGCCAAGGGGGGAGGAAAACACTGCTCTGGTGACAGGTGGGAGGGGCGGAGCAGTTCAGGATGGAGAGCAGAGGATCGGTAAATATGTGAAATATTTACCAATCTTTCCCTGTGCAGAACAAACACTGATTGATCAGTACTGACAACTCTGTGTTTGTAAATAACTAAGGAGACAGTGATTATGTTCCACTGTTATGAATGAACAGGAAGTGCTTACATCACTTCCTACTCATTCATGACTGGGGACATAGCAATCACTTACTATGTCCTCAGTTTATGAATATACAGGAGAAGCTCAGTACAGAGGCTTCCTGTCCCGTTCATATTTACTATGTCCAAATCGTGAATTAACAAGAAGCCTCTGTACTGAGTGCTGCCTGTTCATTCATAAACTGAGCACATACTAAGTGATTACTATGTCCTCAGTCATGGGGGTGCTGGGGCTGCAGCAAAAGAGATTGAAGACTCTGTGTCCTTTTTTCTATATACAAGGGGAATATCAGGGGTCTGTTTGGACCCCAGATATGTCCCCGAAGCCCCTGACAGAAGAGTAAAAAAAATAATAATAATAAAAAATAATTGAAAAAATAGTAAAAAAAAGTTAAAAAATAAATAAAGCCTCCCACCCCCCCCACACACATGCCATTATGTGCGCCATATTATGGTGTACTTTATGCACATGTACTGCGGTGCATTGTTACAACACAAAGAAATGCTGGATTTTTTTCTTTTTCTTTACTTTTTAAAACATGAATTAAATTGCATGTCAGCGCATGGCAAAGTGTTGTGACAGATTGCCGTGCATTGTAATAGGCTGTGTTGTGGTTATATGTATGCCCGAATCATTTTACCATAACACAGAGTGCAGTAAAGACACAGGGAAGCAATTTCAGTCCAGGAGAGGAGCCGATACAACTGTGCAAGACTGAAGATAAGGCCGGGGGTTCAGCTTTATGAAGACATTTTTTTTTGTTTTTTTGCTTGTGTATAATAAACTGATAAAACAATAACAATACAAGGATAAAGCAAAAGGGAACACATAGCAATAAGATACAACAGAATGTCATTATTAGATGTAATCTTCACAGTTTTGTAGAGCTGCAGAGATTCTGCCAAGACAATTAGAGGAAAATAGAACACATAAATAAATCAACCGCCAATAAAGAGCAAGAAGATGGCGGGGAGCAACAAGCCGTTATAATGAACACGATTCATCAAACAAAACAGGATCAAATGAAACAAACTACAAACAAACAAATGTAACGGCTGGTAATAAATAGGGGAAAGAATTATCAAGAGCAATGAGGTATTATTAGGCACAAACTGGCAGCGGAGCTGAGATGTTATACATAAGCTCCAGTCAAAGCTGAGAATGAAATCATGGGGGTTAATAGAAGAAGAACCTCATTGTAGCCGCTAGTACTCCAGTATTTAATGCAGGAATATCTTTACTGCACAAGGGCACCCCATCCCCCTCCTCTTTCCAGAGGTCCAAGATGCCTCCTGCTGAGTCACACCACCACTTTGCAGAGGTCTGAGATGCCCCCTGCTGAGTCACAACACCCCCCCCTCCCTCATCATGGACCCCCTTTGCAGAGGTCCATGATGAGTTTCTTACCAGGAGATCCTGCCAATGCTAATGCCAACAACACTTCCTGTTGCAGAATGACAATGCCAAGCTGCAGCCTTGCAATTAGCAGCAGGGTTGTCCAGCTGTCATGTGTGCTCCTTCAGTTGACGGTTGGGCTGTCTATCTTATATACTGTATGTGATGGAGGGCTTTAAAACTAGTTTTACTTTAAAATAATGGAGGAAGCCATTATGAACCTCCCTTGAAGAATACCAGTTGCCTGGCTGCATCTTCCTTCTAAAGTTTCAGACTCACTGACCTGGAACAAGCATTCAGATCAGGAAAGTCAAAGAAAAGTAAGAACTCCCTATGCTTATAATTGTTGCCACAAAAACCATTAAAGATATTGGATCATCATGATGGTCAGAGAACAAGTATCTTCAGAAGACGTTTGCCAGGGCAGCCATAGTCTCTCGGTACAGGTTTCCTTTAAATTTGTTGGGTAAATGCCTAGAGTATGGGTATGCCAAATTGTAAGTATATAAGCCTGAGAAAACAACAGCTGTACATACTAATGGAACAGATCCCTGTCATGGCACATGCCACCGACTTTCCAATATCTGGCCATTGGCCTTCAAGATAAAAATAACGACAAGCGATATTAGAACTGCGTCCAGATTTTACTAATGGAAATGTGAAAGTTATAAAGTCTATGCAACCCTGAACAATGAACGTCTCTTATGTGCTCCCTTTTGTAGTTGTAAAGTCCCAGCATATCCTCTCCTGTTATGACATCAGCATTGTAATAGGAATACATAGTGGAGTTGTCTCTGATCATACAATCAAAGCTTACTTGAAAAAAATCCCTTTTATGTAGTGAGTGCTGCCTTCCGTCTGCCCATCACTGCCACCAACTTCCTGGATCCCCAGTGTGCTTTGTGTCTCTTTCCCTGCTGCTTGATGTGATGCAATCTTCATTTCTCAAGACTACACAACCCATCATGCATTGCTTCCAGCGAGCAATGATAATGTTACATTGTTCAGATGTTCAGTTGTAGTTCAGATGGAAGGCTCTGTGATAGTGGTGCTGCAAGGAAGTGAAATGGTGTCAGTGCATTGAGGAAGTCCATCCTATGGACATCTTAAATGCATATGATTATTAGGAGTGGGATAGAATTTATGGAAATTCAATATAGAAATACAGATTTATTCTTAGTTTTTAACCAACGATACCCTATAAATATACCAATTAAAGAGTTTTATATCTGTTCAGTGCAAAAAAACATACCTGTTGATGTTCTCAGAAATCTAATGAGCTTCTAACATCCTTTAGTGAACTTACAAAGCTGCACTGAACTCTCAAACAGTATCAGTGCTGCCCAATTTACCTCTGTAAACTACAGAACACCTCCCCATTAAAGTGCAACTGAAGCCAACTGAAGTCGTTGTGTTGAGTATTGTGATCGCACAACCACATTTATATTCAACCTCCACCCCCCACTGTTCAGCTCACTCATATGTTATTGTAAAGTTTTGTTTCCCGCACATTCCATTGCTAAGAGACAAAATCTATTTCCTTGAGTCAAATTGCCGATTCTTGCAGTACTGTGATGAGGACTCGCAACACATTTCCCATATTCAAAAGATCTGGAGATGTAGGAGGTATATTGACGATATCCAAATGAAGAACATTACTATCACATAATGACCCATTAGTTATTTTCAATCAAGTTGGAATATAACTTACATAACTCAAACATTTTATATGAATGACCAAACATACAAGGAAATGAGAGTAGAACTTCCACAGGAGGTCTCAGGGGGTCACAAAAAGGGGGTCCCAGGTCCCCGGAGCTCAGTTTGATGCCATCAGTCTGCAGCAGGAAGGAGAAAGCATTTCCTCAGTCCCCCCTCTCCCAGTGGTAAGACTATGACACTGTAACTTTATCGTAAGTCGCAAGGTGGAGGCTGCAGCAGAGGCTAATCTATGTCAGATATTTGTGATCACAGCCAAGACCTGCACAAGCATCAGAATTTACACGATTGTGTCACCTCTGAGACGGAATCTCAGTCCAGGAAGTAGATGGCGACCCTGGGCGATGCCTTAACAAAGATGGCACCATGCTTTTGTAGTAGAACTGATCTCTGTCAGACATTTGTGAACACTGCCAGGAACCTCATAGGCACCAGAATTTACGTGAATGACTCATCTCTGAGCCAGCATCTCAGTCCAGAAAGGAAGGTAGATGGTGACCCTGGGCAATGCCTGAACCAAGATGGTGCTGTCTTTCTGTAGAATATAGCAAATTAAGACATTGCCAGGGGGAGGACTGTGCTCTCTGTGAGAGGTAAGGGTCACATTCACACATTGATTAGTATGCATGCACCTAACAGGAAATATACAGTATATCCGATGACAGGTTCACTTTAAGCAGGCCAAACACAGAGCAAGATGGTTGTTGTTACCATATGCAGTGTTATGGTGAAACCGTTACGTATGGAGCATTGGCAAAACTCTGGAGGTTTAAATGGAATTTATTGTCTAATAAAATATTTATCTCAGCTGATAACAGTGTTTACTTGAGAGCATTCCGTTACTACTTCAAGCGTCATAATAGAGAATTTCTCAATATATTCAGGTGAACACAGAGTCATTCACAGGTTGTACAGTTCCTCAGTGTATGCTTAGAAAAGTTCATAAATATGAGTCACATGACAATGGCATTCTAAATAATATACAAACATCTTGCCATTGACCTATAAATCTTGGTGGCTTTCCGTTCCCTTCCTGGAGTGGCTTTTTTTGGAAGGAGGTCAATCTTCGAGTCACCATGAGTTGTGACATACACTGATTACGTGTTCTTCTACATGCACTGTGCCAGCAGCTGTTACCGTGCACACAACTTCTAATCACCAGCTTTCTCTACAATCTTCGGAAGCTCAGGTTGACCAGGTTAATAAGTGACTCTCTAGTCTAGGAGAAGGAGCTGGCTTTGGAGAGCTTTGAAAGCTCCAAACTTCAACATGTTCCTCCTGCTTCTTGCAGCGCTGCTGGGCACAGCAGGTAAGTGGATATATTATGACTAGACGTTAAAGAACAAATAAGGTCATGATGGCCAAAAAAATAGGACGCTCAGCCTTTTTTTTTAAACTTAGGGTTCGGTTGTTTGTAATTTTCTACTGATTGAAACATTCCTCCTCTCCACCACATTCTGCTCCCATACCTCCAGCCAGATGGAATATGGCAATGCGAAAAGTGATTTGTGTACATACTTAAAAGATAGAAAGGCTGGAGAAGAATAGAATCATGCAACCTAAAACATAACAACATAAACCGAGATAATGTAAAGTTTTCTGTGTCCAGTCAAATCTACTTAACATCAACATTACTGACTCACTTATTGACCAGGTGCGACATTTCTATTTGTGCATCTTAAATTTTGGTTCAACTATATGTCAACTATATCTCTTAAAAATAGTTCAGGGCTTTCAGATATCTCCGTGAGAAAAAGTGAGTTATCATAATAGACTTTGTGATAGATTTGGAAAATGTACTGTCTACAGGAGCCTTTCTCAACCAAGGTTCTGAAGACCCCTAGGGATCATCCACATGTTTCTAGGGGTTCTTTGAACAGTAAACAGTGGCAGATTGATCCCCCATCTGGATTGACCACAAATATTGTAGGGCAGTTTCCAATGACCATCAATGTAATAGGTTATTTCTACACTGACCACCAATGCTATAGGGAGAATCCTGCATGACCACCAATGTAATAGGTTGCTTCTACACTGACCACCAATGCTATGGGCAGTATCCAATGACCACCAATGTAATAGGTCACCTCTACACTGACCACCAATGCTATGGGGCAGTTTCCAATGATCACCAATGTAATAGGTCACTTACACACTGAGCACCAATTCTATGGGGCTGCTTCCAATGGCCCCCATGTACTAGTTTGCTTCCACACTGACCATTAATGTAAAGGTAACTAACAATTTTTACTTTAGCCTTTCTCTTCTGGTCCTTATTATTATTTGTTTCTTTTCATGAGATAAAAGGAAATTTGGTTCCATTTAAAAAAAATAATAATAATCCACCTTTGGGGTCACAATATTGTTTACTGTTACATTTAATATTATATCTAAAACTTACTGACCATACTAATGTATAATTGGCTGTAGTTATATTCATTTTTAGCAAGGGGTTACCTGAGACCTGAAAGTTATTTCAAGGGTTCACCAAGGCTTAGAAGGGTTGGTCTATATCAGGGGTAGGCAATCTCCATCCCTCCAGCTGTCGCGAAACTACATACAATATACCTCCATGCATCTGCCTCTGGAAGTCATGCCTGTGGCTGTCAGAGTCTTGCAATGCTGAATGGGATTTGTATTTCACCACAGCTGGTGGGCTGAAGTTTGCCTACCCCTGGTCTATATTATCCCTGAGCAACCATTTACCTTTAAATGTTCATTTTTTAACAGTCACCACCAATACAGATTTTCTTATAAATAGTCATTTTAAGGCATTACTGATCAATTTTTGTTTTAGACATAGTCAACAAAAGAGACATCTAAAACCATTACCTAGTAGAACAACTCACATTTTTTGATCAATTGTTCATGAGAAACCCGTCATGATGATGAATAGGAGGCATTATTCAGGTCCTGAAGTGCATATCAAAATGATCCTGATGACTTATCTTATAAACATGTATCTAAAGCTGCCAACCAGACAGCTGCCTTTGTTACCCATTTTTTCTATTTAGTTCATAAGGTAAATAATGAGCCTAATATTTTTTAAGGGTGACCTTCTGAACTCTTGCGTTTTCCTACAGTAAATGGTAATCTGTATCACAAGATCATTGGTGGGTACGAGTGCCAAGCCAACTCGGTTCCATGGCAAGCCACCCTTCAGTACTTTGACGACCATGTATGCGGCGGGATCCTGATTAATAAGCAATGGATCCTAACAGCAGCACACTGCAAACTGCCGTAAGTGTAAACGTGAGTTAGGTACCATGGGTGCTGGGAAACAACTGCTTAGTAAGTGTCAATTAAAAGTTTGTTGGGCTTTCCAAGTGATGAACTAATATACCAGAGAACAGAATTTGACCATTTTTTGTTGTTAGATGCAGGATGTAAATGAACAATCTCCACTCTCCTCTCTCCTGACCAGGGCCGGATTTACACTCTCTGCTGCCCGAAGGCCAGGTTCCTCAATGCGCCCCCCAAACCTGCCAAACCCCCCCCTCCCCCATGGAGAATGGCAGACTTGCAGGCTGCATACAAGTGATCTCAGCGACGTCGCCGAGATCACTTATACAAAACTAGTGGCCGCTTCCCCGCTGGACATTTAGCTCTGCTTGCCCAAAGCAGGGCTAAATGTAGAAAACAACTACCCACCCGGCGCCCAGAACTGCATGTCCCGGCCATCGGGAGATAGGAATTCCACACCCCTGCTGCCCCTCTACTCCCAGCTGCCCCAAGGCCGGGCCTTGGTTAGCCTTGTGGGAGATCCAGCCCTGCTCCCGAGGCATGTGCATTTCCACAATCTATTAGGAGGTGTTAGTAGACATCTTTATAGAATGTCCTAGTCTGGAAAAACCAACTTTTTTGACTGGCCTGATTGAGCAATCACCTTATTATCATGCACATACTGTACACGGTCAGATAATCTCCAGAAATAATTGGATTGGCTGACTTTAAAATACCTTTGTGGCCATATAGGGTTAACTATATGCACTATGTGGCCCAGGCAAAAGACATTGGATGGAGTCTTTAAGTTAGAGGAATGTTTTGCATTTTAGTACTAAGTTGATGAGAACCCATATGACTGATGAGCAGGGTCAATTTTTCTAATTCACTCAACAATTTTTCTCTCTTTATTTAAGGGGAGATGGTACAAGAAATGTTTTTGGGTTATTTAAAGAAACTTTTGTAACCCTCTGCACCCTTAAAAACTACCCAAAACACCTTAGTTTTGCCTTACACACTGACCCCAATGCACTTTGCCAAAATGGCAAAATTTTGCCAAAATCTTCAGACTTTCATTTAATGCATTAGTTCTGTTCATTCTGTGACAGAAATTATGCAACTAAAAATGTTGTAATACGGCTTCTGATTAATTTTACCATCGTTGTGAACAATAGATAGATAGATAGATAGATAGATAGATAGATAGATAGATAGATAGATAGATAGATAGATAATAAATAGATACATTGACCTATTGTATATAATGCTCTAAATTACCCATATTTGATATGTCTGCTTACATTGTTTTCGCTGTGTGATATAGGAGCCTTCAGATCCAACTTGGGGATCATAACATAAAGAATTATGAAGGAAAAGAGCAGTTCACCTATGCTGATAAGATGTGTGCTCACCCAGGTTTTGATCAAGTAACCTATGATAATGACATCATGTTGCTGAAGTTGCCGCAGCCAGTCACATTGAATGCTTACGTTCAGACTATTCCCATTGGCTGCTCTGCCCTACCTGATGGGACCACCTGTCTCGTATCTGGATGGGGGACCACTACTAGCCCAGAAGGTAATAAACATGAGAATATCCACTACAAGTTAGCTGAAAGAGAGAGAGAGATCATACATTATCATGCATTGAACCTGTACTCAACCTTTTTTATGAACACTTTAAATATCAATGTCTTATTGACCGTAGTTCCCAAAGTTGCCTTGGGGCCCAAATTTTCTTCATGCTGTTACACTAAATCTCAGTGTGTTAGTGCTCCAGAGTAGTCAAACTTTAGTGTACAATTCTTCTGGATCTCAAGTTTCAGCATATCAGTGATCGACAAACCCAAGTCTCATAGCCTTACCAAATTTCACTGTGTCCTGGACCCAAATGTCAATATGCACTACTTATGAATCCCAAATGACACAGTGTTTTAAGGACCTGAAGTGCCAGAGGGTGTTCTAGGATCACTTACATTAGCGTTAGTTGGTTCTAAGATACAAGGCTGATAATACATCAATTTTCAGACAGTTTCAACCACTGTTAACCAGCTTTCAATCTCAAAAACGAATGAAAAAGGAAGCCTACACCAACACTTTAGATCTCCAAGGTGTAGATAGTACCTGAACTGTTGGTGATAGGTTGCGTTTATCCATTAGGTCAACTTTCTAATCGAAGGCTGGTTGAAAGTGTTTGGAATTAAAAAGTGCCTTTGCCGTGCCCAACACAAGCATGTTCTGAGACATTATCAGGTCTATTCACAAAAGGGTGAAGAGTTTGGAGAAGGCAGGAGAAGGGAACAATCTAGGCCAAAATAGCTGATTTGGAAATATTCTCCAATTCAGCTCACTTTCCAGTTCAGCTATTTTGTCCTAGATTGTTCACTTCTCCTGCCTTCTCCAAACTCTTCACCCTTTTGTAAATAACCCTGTAAGTGTCACTACATTATTGTCTTGGATTCCTAATGTCAGTGTATGAATGTTGTAGGAACTCAATAATCAGGATGTCATTGTTTTGAGGCTAGGATGGTCAGTGTTACATTGTTATGACCCTCATCTGTCTTTGTTCAAATTTTCTAGGACTCAGAGAGTCCAAGCAGTGGCGTAACAATCGCCATAGCGACCCAGGCGGCCGCTATGGGGCCCGGCCAGGGCTGCCTGGGTCGCTATGGCAGGTGGGGGTGCTGGCTGTCACAGACACAGCTCAGCAGCGTCCACAGCGTGTTTACCCTCATAGCCGCTGCGGAGCTGAGTCAGTGACAGCCAGCCGCTGCGGCAGATGAGGGCGGTGTTCGAAATGGAGGAGGCAGGATCCGCCTCCTCTTACATCACTGGCCAGCGACCTAAGAGCAGGTGGGGCCAGTGATGTAAGAGAAGGCGGGGCCCATCGATAGCAGAGGAGGCGGGGCCCGGGGACGGAACAGGAGTCGGGGACCGGCGACCACAGAGTCGCTGACAGGTAAGAGATCTCAAACCCTGCAGAGCCCACTATAGAGAGTCTATGGTGGGCTCTGCAGGGTCACTCTCCGCTGGGGCTCTGCAAGTGGCATAACTAGCAATCACGGGGCCCCATACAAAATTTTGCTATGGGGCCCTGTGATTTCTAGTTACGCCCCTGAGTCCAAGGTGTTGATTTACTAACCTTATAAACACACCACGAACATGTATACACCTCTGTTGTGTGTTCCCTCCCAGCATGATCTATGGGTGGAATCTAAACACCTTTGTAGTGTGTACACACCCAGCAGGTGTGTTGTGCAAAGCCCTGGATGAATTTGCAAGGTGATGTTGTGTAAATTAGCTCTATGTTGTGTTGCTTGCGTTGATGAATGCAGGAATGTAAATGCATGAGCTAACCATTTTTGTCTAAACTGTGAAGCAGCATTATATATGCATCATGTGCATGATTTTTCCATATATGGCATTAGTGGAAATATGCTTTTAGAGACTTTTTGGGTGATAAATACATTTTGCTGTGTAAAAATCACACGCACCTAGTGCGTGCGTGTGTTTAGGTTAGTAAATCACCCCCCAAGTGTCACTTTGTCTAGACTTCAGATTGTAACATTCCATTGGTCTGGGACCCAAAACTTAGAGTTACTTACTTTTCTAAGCTGAGGTGGTAAAATGCTTTTTTGTCTGGGTCTAGTCTTGTCTACTCTGTTACAGCTTTGTAAGTGACCTTCACAATAGTCGCTCATTTTGGATTAAATCACATTGCTAGTCTTTATGCTCCATCTTCTGCTATTCCCTGATCTTCAACAGTGTGTGCCCCTTGCCTTCACAATATGGCAGAATGTAGACTTGAACTGGGTATTCTGTAATACAATTTATCTTCTATCGTTCTTACATCTCGTATTCTCGTAGACAGATGTTTGACAAATTTTCTACCCGTACAGCAAACTATCCCTCTACTCTGCAGTGTGTAGAGGTGAAGACGGTTTCTGCCCCTGCTTGCCAGGAAGCGTATCCCGATGATCTGATCTCAGGCAACATGCTGTGTGCTGGAGTTGAGGAAGGAGGCAAGGATTCCTGTCAGGTAATAGTTTTCAAAAAATTTAAAACATTTACCCATCTTGCTTTAATTAGTATGAAGGTCTACACCCATCCATGATGATGCCATTGATTTCATAGGAGCATTCTTTTAATTGTAACTTTATAACATATATTACCCATAATTTCACTTACAGTGATATCTAATAATATTGGCCCTGCTGTATGAATGTGGTGGGACATTTGAGGCTGCCCTCTGGTACACATGCATCCAATTTAATATGAATCAAACAACACTTTATGTTATATAGAAGTTTTGCATGTTCTGAGAACATGGAATTAACATCATGCTCCCTGCCATCATACAGGAGGGGCAACTAAATGAGCTGGCATGTCTACTGGTAGAAAGTTGGAATGCCAGTACAGACACCAGCCTCATTGAGATCTTGTTAAAAGAAAGGGGAAAAACATAATCCAGATATTCAATCATTTAGTCAAAATTGGACAAGTAACAATTGATAGTTTCATGAACTAGAACATTCCACACTTCACTATCATCTGATTAAAACAAGTGCAAAAATGCTGAAATGGACTGTGGTATAGACTGGAAACTGATGACCACATAGCACTTTAGCAACTTAAGCCGGCATATGCCTATAGATGGCAATAGAGGTAACCTTTCCTTGTATATTAACAAGCCGCATATTAGTAGTCATGTTATACACTTAGAGGTCTATTTATGAATGTTTTTACCCAAGATTCACACAACTTCCTCACAAAATTTTCACATTTTCCCAATTGGAAAAATGTGTGAATCCTTTAGTATTCATTAGGGATGCAATGATACCGATACTAGTATCGGTATCTGTGCCAATGCCGAGTAAATGGGGGCGAGTACTTGTACTCGCCCAAATGCTCCGATGCCTAGCCTGATACCTGAGCTTCCGGTATCAGGAAGCCGGGCAGCGTATAATGACTTGCCACCTAGCTTCCTGATTGGTTGGGAGGCTGGCAATCAGGAAGCCGAATGGCGAGTCATTACACACCCCTGGCTTTCTGATTGGCCAGAAAGCCAGCTCCATGCTTCCTCGTCAGCTGGTGACGAGGGAGCATGGAGACAGCTCCCCTGCTAATCAGGAAGCCAGGAGGGGAGTTTTTCACGCCGACCAGCTACCCGGCTAATCAGGAAGCCAGGTGGCGAGTCATTACACGCCGCCTGGCTTCCTTAATGGGACTTCCGGTTTTGGTATTCGGTATGCGTACTCGATACCGAAAAACTGGTATTGGTGCATCCCTAGTATTTATCTTTTTGTATTGAGTTCAGTGTTAAAGTCTCTCGCCTTTGTGTTCCTAATTCAGAAGGTCACTTTCAGTACATGTTTCATTTGTGTTCCTGCAGGGTGACTCCGGTGGGCCTTTGGTGTGTGATTCTAAACTCTACGGTGTCACGTCCTGGGGTAACGTTCCATGTGCAGAACCCAATCACCCGGGAATTTACACTAAGGTGTGCAAATACTTAACCTGGATCCAGCAGACAATAGCTAATGGTGACTGCCTTCCATAAACAACGTTCCTTCGATCTGCACAGTGCTTTTTAATCTGATGGCGCTGTTCTGTTTAAGCTTAACCCATGAGAGGTCCACCCAGGATCAATTGACAATCCAACCCCAAAACTCTGCCTAATGCTTTCTATGCCTAAATTACTCAGCGGAGAAAGAACACAACCTCCAATGGCGATACGTCAACAACCTTTAGGCCCAACTCACACTCTTGTTTTAGAAATCCTTCATCAAACATGACCACACTACCTGTACGGGGACACCTTCCATGACACTGCAAGATCAATGCACCAAAATTACAGCACTAAGAACTTTTTGTCTATCTTACTGGTTTGGTGTCAGCAGTGCCATTGACCACGAGATGTTTGAAGCCCAATGCACTTTCTTGTGTAAAAAAATTAATACATTTTGAAGCAATAAAATTAAAAAGCAAATACATCATGTTTTGTTTTCATTTTTGTCAAATACAGTGCACTGGGTAACCTTGTTTTTGATGCTAACTTGTAATTTGATTTCATATATCGATGATTGTATTGGTATATCAGGTTTTTTTGGTAGATTCTAAAGAGTTACATCACCTACCATTTATTTATGTTTCAATATGGTGAGATCTCTGTGTGTTTCTAGGCTTGCACGCGTGCTGTGGCTATTACGAAGGGTTCCTATACTCCCTGTAGGATGTTAAGGGCCTTTCTCAATGAGCTTGGGCCTTAGGTCAATGGCATCAGTTTGAGATGCTTTGGAGATCTTTCATAATTCATTGACAGGTGCATGCAAACTGCGGCTGACCTCCTTTTGACCTAGATTTGACCTACTTCAAGGGTTTACATTCCTACATAAATACAAAATCCATCTGATGCCAACAAAACCTGTTGATACAGACCCTAAGTGTATTATTTATTATTAACAATGCCATAGAAAAAGGGCAAATAGCCCATGCCTTATGATGGTGAGATCTCTCTGCTAAGGTTATTGGGTGGCTCAAAGTCAAACTTCCACTAGGTTCTCATTTCTGTCCTTGACCTCACTTGGAATATTTTTTATTTCATTTCCTGGGACATCCATACAAAAAATGGGGGGAGTAGTTGTCACTAGGAAATGAAGGCATTGACACCAGTAAAAACAATTTCAGAAATTCTAACCCTTTCTCAAGGAAATGAAACAGTATTTCTTTACATCTACTTCCCTGTTGGAGAGATTTACTATCAAGAAATTTTGTTCTGACAAAAAGTGAGCAGAAATTGCCTCAATGGGGACATAGACAGCAGTAAAAACCCAACGGTGGCTTTAAACCTTTCATGCTATTTAAAATTAAAAGATGCTGGTGATAGGGATCAGGTGCAATTTCTAAGCCAGGGGTGGGCAACCTTGGAACTCCACTTGTTTTCCAGAAGTACAAATCCTATGAGGCATTGAAGACTCTGACAGCCACAGGCATGGGCTACAAAAGGTAGATAACATTTTACTGCAGCTGAAGTCTAAAGGCTACCTACCCATTATTATCATTATTATTATACAGGATTTATATAGCGCCAACAGTTTGAGCAGCGCTTTACGATATAAGGAAGACATTACAATCGCAATACAATTCAAGACAAGATGGTAAGGAGGGCCCTGCCCCTGAGGGCTTACAATCTAAAGGGGAGGGGCAAGTGATACATGAGTAGATAGCTGTGTGGGGATGAAGCAATGGTCCAAGCAATGTTGAAGGAAGCGTTAGCACAATCTGTATAAACCACAGTAGCCTCATAGTCTGCAAACTAATAATGCCCTGAAGGCTTATAACATACTGCATGCAAGTTCAAGCAGACCTCCAGCTAAAACGTTCTTTTCTAGTTTTGCATAGAATGAGGAAAGGTTACAACCCCTTTCTATTTATTTTTTTTTACTGCTGCCTCTATTCCCATTGGAGAAGTCTTAAACTTTGCAGTTGTCACCATCAAAGGAGAAGTAGGTGCAATATCTTTCAATGGAAACACCTTTGACAGCTCTCAAAGTAAGAATTCTCTCTCAATTCCTGTTGTGTCATTGAGCAGGAAGTGAGGAGGAATCTCCTGAACGAGAACATAGACAGCATTAAAATACATAGCAAGGGTTCCAACCTTTCTAAAACTAGACAAAAACAGTTTTGGCTAAAGCTCCATCTTAAGAACTCTTCCAATTTGTCCACAGTGGAGTTCACAGATTGTGAGCAACAGAACCGCGGCAAGGTCCTTCCTGTGTCTGTTGAAAAATATGGGTGGAGCTCTGCTCTGCTCCGTGTCCCTTTGTAGGACGTATTTAAACATGGAACAAATAAATTTTCTGGTTGAAAAGCACAGAAACGCAAGAAAAACAAGACTGTATAGAATACTTACAGTGGAGACTAAGCATAACATTGCTTTCAATTTCCTTGTCGTAAAATCCACTATGAATGGTCAATCAATTCTACACCATCATCATCTTGCACTTAGCACACATGATATCCGAAGTAACAATTTGTAATACAGTAACAAAACATACCAAAATGATATAACTTCTCAGAGGTAAAAATGTACTTACCTAAGGCGATTGTATATGTTGGTAATTATAACATTCATTTTTTTGTTTGTTAGATTTTATTATTTTTATATTTGCGACCATCTACTGCTTATTGTAACATACTAGAAGCACACATTCACTAATATGAGCTACGGTATTAGCTTTTTATGGTCAAGTGTTTGTAAATGTAGATTTATTTTTGTATCTTTTTTCGAATGAATACCCGGACATTTTCAGATCTGATGTGTTGTGTATCTGACGAGATCATTTGTTTTCTGATTCTGAAATGTTCTGGAAAGGTTTTACACTTGCTACTCATAGGAGCAGGTATGAAGCAAGCGGCGCGGCATATGGAAGGTGTTACGGAACGCATTGTGAAAATGGTACCAGATTATAACAATCCATAGTTTAATTTTCTTTAAATCGAGATTTGAACATGATAAACATAGAACAACAAACTTTGAAACATTGCAATTAATATAAAAATGGGTTTTAAGGACCACTATTAGAAGTCATGTAGAAATATTAAATAAGTTACAGTAGAAGTAAAGGAAGAATGGAAGAAAGAAGAATGAAGATTATTAGTCAGGAGGCAGGTAACATATACCTAAAATGTACAAACTGTGGATAGTGGAGAAGTAGATATCAAAAGGTTAAAAAAATGTTTCTAAGAACTACACGTTTTTGCTGTTGGTTCCTCAGGGGTGGATCAGCCCTACAACCATGGCATCAGTAAGGGGATTCCATACACTGTACAGAACCCCTACCCCCTAACTCACAACTCATTTTGTGATGGACTCACCACTTTTCCCGCCAATGTTTCTCCTATTGCTAAACTGGGATAGGTCATATTGTTCTAGAAGGAAGTCCCTACGTGCCGTAGGATTTAACATAGTCACATACAGGAACTTTCAACTTTGTTAAATTCTAACTGCAAAAGGCACGTTCCCTTTACTTGCTCCCCCCACTTGTATCTCACCAATTCCATAATCCTTGATATAAGGACATAAAGATGACATCCAATCTACAATACGTATGCTTCAGATGCAAACAGTTTTTGCTTTTGGTTTCTCAGGGGTGGAGCTTCAAAGAATCATTTGGGTTATGAAAAAACAAAATAAACAGTTTATATGATGTTGTTGTTTGTTTCTTTTTAGAAAATAATTTCATTTTCTCCTAATATGTGTGAGCGCTGCCGATTCGGGTGAGTTTAACTCAGTCTGGATGTTGTGTACCATTTGAGAAAATCGAAAACAGCAAAATAAACCTGTGTTTTGCACTTGCACTCCAGTCACAGTTCCACATACACACACAGGCACACACATATATTTATATGCAGTGTATATATTTTAGGAATTTCAGTAAAACACCAGCCAAAAGAATATTAAGCTTTTTTTTTGCTATCACTAGTGTGAATTTGCTTTGTAGAATTAATTTCTTTTAGCAGCATTGGCAATAAAAAAATAAAACATAAAATCACATAAAAGATAAATAAATACTTAACGAGCATAAGAGAGGCAGCGATAGTGCTGATTAATTATACTTACAGACATTCTGTATGTCAATCTATTTTTACCTATAATCCCGCTGGCATCCTCAGGATGCAGTTTGTCCACTCTGAACACCCAGCGGCCGGGGACGTGGACATTACTCGTAGATGATATGTTGATGATCTCAGAAGTCAAGGAGCTGGGTATTTGATAGTATCCGGTTTTATAGCCGCTGTTCACCCCAGCCTGCAGGATATGAATTTATATGATGTATATTGTATTAAAAATTGATTTTTCTTACATTTGTTTTTGATAATTTGACAGTTTAAAGGATTTTTAAAGGCTGTTTAAGAGTGCGGCCTTTCATATTTGTTAAAAGGTTCAATGGTTGCACCTCTGCAACCATGGCATCAGTAGGAGCATTGTATACACTGTACAGAAGCCCCAAACCCAATCTCACATCTTGCTTGGTGATTGGCTCATCACTTTTCACAGCAATGTTTTTCTTATTGCAAAACTGGAATAGGTCATATTGTTCTAGAACAGTGGTTCTCAGCCTTTCTAGGGCCGGGACCCCTTGGTAACATTTGCCAAGTTGTGGCCCCAACGGAGCGCTGGATTCCAGAATTAGTAAGGCGCTGGACTCCAGAATTAGTAAGGCGCTGGACTCCAGAATTAGTAAGGCGCTGGACTTGGGACTAAAAATAGAAGCACACTCACATGAATACAAGCCCTCCTCAGCCCCTGCTACCTGCTTGCCTGCTCTGTCTCCATGCAGCCTTCTCAGCCCCAGCACTGCTTTGACGCCCGCCTCCTGCAGAGCTCACATTGTATAGGAGGCGAGAGGACAGCAGTGGCTGCGAATAGAAAAGTCCTGCTGTACACACTGCCTGGCCACTAGATGTCGCTGCAGCGGCCAGGGAGTGTGTATAGCGGCACTTTTATATGCACAGCCTCTGCTGTTCTCGCGCTTACTGACACTGCTGCGCTAGGAG